GAGAGAGCAGCAATGTGAGAGGGAGGGTCCAGGGACAGGCCCCAGGAGGGAGAGAGGAAAAGGGGCGGTCTGGCTGGGAGGGAAGGGAGGCCCGAAGGAAGACCTCAGGTGGGGGCGGGGGCGGGCAGCTGGTGTTATTACCGGCAGGGGTTTGGTCCTCCCTGGGGGTGTCTTTGGCGCTCAGATGTGAAGTCTTGAGGGCCAGGGTTTTGTCTCTCCTGTAACCACTGTTCGCACAGGAAGGGGGTGGCACCCTGGCTGCCTGGCACTTCGTGAGTCGCTGAGTAAATGCCCTGCTCTGTTACTGGAGACTTCGCACTGAGCCTGATATGCTACTGTGGGGTTTCTGGAGGTGCAGAAGTCAGGGTGGGGTCTCCAGTTTGTTGTTTTGTGGCCTCGGGGGACCCACCCTCCGTGGAGCGCCTGCTGTACTAGGAGTTGATCTTATTCAATCCTCGGGAGAACCAGCGGGACCAGCTTTAGTCCCATTTCACAGAAGGGAGACTGAGGCGCGGAGAAATTACATAAACTGGTCCAAGCAAGTCAGGGGAGTCGGGATGCGAAGGCAGGTCTGCATGGCTCTGCAGCGGCCCATGCTGTGAGTCTTACACTGATCTTGGTGGGGAGTGGGCACGGAAGACGGACCTAACAGCCCACGGATCTCAAATTCCTTGGGCAACCAAGAATGGGCATGCAGTGAGGACCTACTGCACCCAGGGCGGCCTGCCAAGCCCTGAGAAGTGGCCCAGGACCCTCTGGCTCTAAATCCGGGGTGCACGAGTCACAGAGGGGTCCCTATTTCTAAATCTGAGAAATTCTAACAGTCTGGGTACAAAATGTCCCACCTGCACTTGGTTCTTATAAAAGTACCAGAGCCTCTAGAATAGCAGTCAAACCCTTGGGGGGGAGGGGGGGCTGTGGACAGACTTCAGGGGGGCCTATGCACTTGGACGGGAGAAAAACTACATCTTTATTTTTTTCACTATCCTCCCATTAAAATGCTCAGTGGTTACGCGTTGAACCAGGAACCAAGAGACTTCGCTGGTTCAATTCCCAGTCAGGGCACAGGCCCCGGCTGTGGGCTTGATCCCCAATAGGGGGTGTGCAGGAGGCAGCCAATCGATGATGTTCCTCTCTCATCCCTCTCCCTTCCTCTTGCTCTGAAAAATCAATAAAAACATATTTAAAAAAAAATAAAACGCAACATTTCCTCAATGAGAAATGCAGGCAGCCAACTATGCTAGCGTTAGCAAGACCCAACAGAAATCACGGATATTACCAGATCCCATCGCAATGGCTACAATTTCTCCAAACAGTGTTTTATGCTCCTCTGTCTTTGAGGTTAGAGCCGTGGTCGGCAAACTGCGGCTCGCGAGCCACATGCGGCTCTTTGGCCCCTTGAGTGTGGCTCTTCCTAAGCCTTAGGAGCACCCTAATTAAGTGAATAACAATGTACCTGCCTATATAGTTTAAGTTTAAAAAAATTGGCTCTCAAAAGAAATTTCAATCGTTGCCCTGTTGCTATTTGGCTCTGTTGACTCGTCAGCTGGCCGACCACTGGGTTAGAGTGTAAGGCCCGCCACCAGATCTCGCTGGCTAACGTGGTGACAGAAAGGGCACTGATACGACTATATGATAAATTTGCTTTTTCAAAATATTTTGATAACTGCATTTCAGGGCAACTGGCTTCTTTTGTTACCTTATGTATTTTATCGTATGCTTTTGTTAACCCTTCCCAGAGGATATTTTTTTCCCATTGATTTTTAGAGAGAGTGGAAGGGAGGGGGAAAGACAGAGAGAAACACTGATGTGAGAGAGACGCATCGATTGGTTGCCTCCCACACTCATCCGGACCAGGGCCAGGGATCGAGCCTGCAACTGAGGCACATGCCCTTGACAGGAATGAAACCTGCGACCCTTCAGTTCAAGGACTAACACTCTAACCACTGAGCAAACCGGCTAGGGCTCATATGCCTTTATCAGCATCATTCACAGCACTATGTTAAAGGGGCCCATGGCTCCCCCCGCTCCCAGGTGGTGGGTATGGCCTGTGAGAAAAGGGGTTCAGGGGTCAGGGACAGAGAGCAGGGCCTGGGCCGAGAAGAAAACAGTGCGAAGAGCGAGGCAGGGTGGGGTGTGACCTCCGGAGGGTGGGGGGAGGGGCTGGCGGGA